TTGGCTTTCTATAGCACTTAGATTACAACATCTTTAATATAAATTGTTAAGGCCCACACACTCTAGCCCCACCCACCTCTCCTTTCTTGCATCATTCCAACTCAGATGCCCATCCCTTCTTTTAAGCTCCACTTTAATTCCAACTTCAATAGTCTTCTAGTTTCTGTACCATCTTCCTCTACCACGGGACCTTTGCACATGCTACTGCTGTAGCTGAATACTTCCTGCTCCTCTTCTTGGCCTGGGTCTGACTCTGTTTCACTACACTCAAGAGCCTCAGCAAGCTTTCCCCAGGGGAGCCAGCTGAGGAATACCTTCCACACCCTCTGGGCAGAGAGACCCAGGGTGACGAGAAGCTCAGCTCCATGGTAGAAACCATCACCAAGCCCATCACCGTCTTCCCCAGCGCCTGAGCAGAAGAAATGCCAATGTCAGACATGTGTGAGCATGAAACAAATCCATGAGATTGGAGGAGCACACAGACATCATCCCTGAAAACCCAGAGCCCGTGGGAGCTGTTCAAGAAGGCATGAAGCCCCAAAGCCAGTTAGTGGTTGGACAGGAGGTGAGATTTCCGCCCCTGGCTGAGGGGCTGCAAATGTCCCTCCCTGGCTGCCTGTGCTTCATCTTTGGGCTTCTGAACTTGGACTCGATATTGTCAGGCATCTGAGGCTGCTGTGGAGGATCTGTGGGGACAGAAGGGACCTCACTGGCTCTAGGTGTGAGCAACAGAACATGGTGGGGACAGGACCCTGGCAGGACAAGCCTTCACAGAATCCAAAAGCAGTGTGGTAGAATTACTGTGGGATTTCAGCATTGGTCCAGATGGCCCACCTCAAGGTTGTAAGCTTGCTTAAGACATGATGAGTTTCTTGAGGCGATTCTCATGACTGGATTGCACGGTTCTCCTGAGCGTACTTCCTCAATGCACTGTCCCGTCAGAGCACGCCTGGTAGGAGTTTTCAACCTTACCACGATACAAGCATGATTTCCATTCTGTAGAAACAGACTGGGGTTTGTTTGTGTTGTTGTTTTGTTAATCTTTTCTGGTGACAGTTGGTAGAATATCTCACTGTGCAGGGAGCAGCAACCAGGCGATCCCAGGGACAGCCGAGCCTCCAGTGTCCTTGCTCTTTGAAGCGTACGCTCCATTATTTCATGGTTTTCCACTTTCCTGATTTTGAACTCACCCATCCCATCATACATCAATCGGCATCTTCGTTTCATCTTCCTGGGAGTGAAGGGCTCTTACTTCACCCAGAAGAACGTGTTCTTGCTTTTGTTATTTAGAAGCGAAAAGAATCATAGATTCCGAGACTCCCAGTCTAGAGCAAACAGCTCAGACTCTGGCCCACTAGCCAAGAGAACCTGGCATCTCAGTTCAGGGCAAACCTGGGCACTTGGGAGACTAAGATGGGTCTTCTAGCCCCCATGTGAGTGTAGGGGATGGTTCCTTACATCACCCTTTCCTGTACTTTGAAAATGCCCTTTACTGTTGCTTCTCTTCCCTCACCATCCCTAAAGTCCATCAGAATAAATACCCGAGCTGGATGCAAAGGCCTAGGAGCTAACGCAATGGGGGCCAATGGCTGGCAGTGCACTTGGACCTGTTCTGAGGCCCCAAGCTAGAGTGTGGGAAGATCGCCAGACTGGGCATCTCCCCTTGCTTGCTCATAGTTGAAATGGGGGGAGGGCAGGATGAGACTACCTTTAGGGTGAATTTGTTTGTTTGCCAAACAAAACATAATACAGGTTTTCACACCTTCCCTGACACCTCACAGATGTCCCAACCACTGGATTCTTTCTCACTTTCAAGCAAGGCCCAGAACTCCATAGCATACAAAGGCGTTCCACAGCCCCATGCTGAGCCTCGAACCCAGTCTGTGAGCAACATGCTCACCGCCTCTGTTTTCAGGTGAGAAGAAAGAGATACAAGGGAAGCAGGGTCACCTCTCCAATTGTGGACGACACACAGAGCTGGGGCTTGACTGTGCCTGCCCCTTGTTGAGCGCACTGATTTGCATTGCCAGCCAGCTGGTGTCCCCATACAGGCACCACTGAGATGGGACCTGTGGCTGGAAGCCTCGAGGACTCACAACTGAGCCATAGCAGCAGAGGCAGCATCTGCAAATACTGTAGCAGGGGCTGGAATGGAGCTTGGTGGTGGAGCATCTGCCTAGCATGCACCAAGCTTGCTGTGCCCGTCACTTTCCGCTGTGTGATACAACACCACCTCCAGAAGCAATTAAGGAAGAGTTGTTTGGGCTGATGGCTGCAGAGGCATCACAGGAAGCAGAAAGAAAGAACTGGACATGACAGAAGCTATAACTTCTCAAAGTAAGGCTCCATGTTCTAAAAGGTGCCATAACCTTCTCCAAACAGCACCACCGACCAGGGGTCACATGTTCAAATGACTGAGCCTGTAGGAGATGTTTCTCATACAAACCACACACTTGGGTTCAATCCCTAGTACCTCCAACAAAACAAGATGCAAACAATAACACTGGACAGCGGGATGCTTCTTCCTGTTACAAAACATCTCTCATGAAGCGTCTCAAACATCCAGAAAACTATAAAACAAAATAAATACCAGGACTGTCAGGCAGAGTTCATAACTGTCTGCACCTCTCCCTTAAGGGACTAGTGATCAGTGGTGGTTCACACTGGCCCTTTGGCTCCCCTTCCCTGGTGGTGGCTTCCTGGACAGTGACATGCAGAGCCAGATTGTTCAAAAACCATGTTGATGCTATATGCTTCAGATGGATCCTCTGACTATTGACATAAGAAAGTTTATTTTTATTGAGGTAACGCATACAGAACGTCACATCTTCCCACTTGACCATTTGTAAGTACACAACATCAACAAGGGCCCTCATGAGTTACATAGCTGCAGTGTTACACGTCTCCTGAACCTTTGCACCACCCTAAACTGAGACTCTGAGCATGTTAAGCACCAAATCCTGTTCGATGTGCCTGCCCCATCCCCCCATGACGGACCGCCACGCCACACCACGCCCCACACACCTCCCATGAACATCCCATTATTCTATTTGCCTATCCCAGGTCCCCGTGTGTAATTGTGGTTCTGTAGCCACCTTTCTTTAGATTAACTCATATTGTAACATATGCAGAATCCCAATTGTTTTGTATGCCACTCTGGGTGTGCACACCATGTCTTTACGTATCCTTCCTGCAGCAGGCCTGTGGGTTGCTTCCACCTTTTGCTGTTGTGAAGAATGTCCTGTGAATATGGGTGTTACAGTTGAAAGGTACCGTCTCCACCATGGGCTCATGGGTTTGACTACTTGGTTCCTCATCCAGAGTTTCATTTAATAGAGTTGTGGAACCTTTAGAAGATGGAGCCTAGCTGAAGGATGTGGGTCGCTGTGGGACTGGCCTAGAGGATTGAAACCTGGCCCCAGTTCTGGCCTGAGCTCTCTCTGCTTCCTAGACTGCTTCCTTCACAGACTGCTGCCATGATGGACTGTACCCTCTTAGACTCTGAGCCAAGACAAAGCCTTCCTCAGCTGTGGAGATGATTCAACGATTAAGAGTGCCTGCTCCACCTCCAGAGGACCCAGGTTCTCAGGACCCATGCTGGGCAGTTCATAAGCATCTGTAGCTCCAGGGTATCTCTATGGGCAACTGTACACACACACACACACACACACACACACGCACACTAAATAGACACATGATAGATGGATGGATGGATGGATGGATGGATGGATGGATAGATGATAGAGGTAGATAGATACATAGATAGATAGATAGGTAGATAGATAGATAGATAGATAGATAGATAGATAGATAGATAGATAGATAGAAAGAAATGGTAAACATAAAATCTAAAACCCTCCTTCCTTTCAGTTACTCTATCAGATGCTTTGCTGAGAAAGTAGCCAATAGAAAGACACATCCCTGTTGTCATTTCCTGTGGCTGTCATTCCCAGGAGTGGAGTTGCTGGAGTAGGTGGTAATAGAGGTTTGGTTATCCAGGTGCTGCCATCTTGTTTCCCAGAATCTTGAACCACTGTACGTTCCTGAGGTGGTTCCCAAGGAGGTTCCATCCTCACAAATGCTTGTTCCTGTCTGCTTCTGTTAACGGCCATCTCAGCAGAGTCAGCAACGTGTGCTTATCACCATCTCCTCCTCTTAGGCTCTAAAAGGGGACGGTCACACTCAGGGGACACGGTCACAAGCAAGTCAGAAACAGCAGGAGCCAGAAGCTGGGTCCAGCCTCTCGCCTAGTCCTTCTTAACATGGCACAACATGGGGCTCTCTTGTTGCATGTTTGGGGCACTTAGTGATGGCTTCCAGCCAGATACACTCTTCAGGTGTGTTCTGTTTAATCCAAACTTTAAACAAAAATCAACACCAAGAAATATGAGGAATTTTTATATTGTAAAAGCCTGAATTTTTTATTTCTTCCTCCAAAGTGTCCTGGGCCCATTTCCAGCATGGCAATGGAACAGCAATGGTTGTCCTTAGAAGGCCCTGTGGTCTCTAGGGTCCCACAGTACCCCAGAAATTCCTGATGTCTGGCCATGACGACATGCAGTTGGCAGCCCTCTGCTGTGTAGGCACACATTCAACCCATAGGTTCGAACCTCACCGTTTCCACCTCACTCTGCTCCATGTTGTTCCTCTGGGAGTCTTGGCTATGTCTTCACTACAAGAGAAAGTCACACTGGAGTTTATACTGCAAAACATAAACAAGGTATCATTAGACAGCCTAAGCTGGCAAGACGGGGTACTGGCCGGGCCACCTCTCCATCTTGCCTCTTGTAGGAATTCAGAGGTCAGGCTGAGCAGTGCCAGCCTTGTATAGCATCGTGTCAACGTGTCACATGAAGGGTGATACTTCCTGCTGTCTCTCAGAATAGTGCTCTCTTCTGTCTCTCAGTGGTGAAGAGAAAATGTCTCCCTAACTCAGCCCATGCTGAGGAATTTGTCCTTTCTGGCAACAGCCCACCCAAGTTTTTTGTCTCTGTCTACAGGTGAGGAATGACCTTACTGGGGTTCTATACGGGGAAGACATCGAGATCTCAGACACGGAGAGCTTCTCCAATGATCCCTGCACCAGCGTCAAAAAGCTCAAGGTAGGTGCAGCCTGTCACTAGGCTCTCTCTTACCAAGGGCTGGGAGCCAGGAGCTATCTGCCTCATCAAAACAAAACATTGCTGTTAGGGTTAAAAGCCCATCTCCTGACCACCCAGCACCAGTCACTCTAAGGACAGAGGAAGACAACTTGAGGTTCCCCTGTTGTAAATATGTCTTCCTTTCACTACCTACAGCAAACCCCTGACCCCTCTCTTGGACTCCCAGAGAGTCCCATCCCTGTCCTCAGGTTGGTCACAGCATGGCTAGGAAGAGGGTCCACTCTCAAGGGAATCAAGAGATTTAAGGCAAAAGGAGGGAGAAGTGACTCATGGCATTTGGGGGTGGGGGGAGGGACAGTGGAGGGAAAGGGTCAGACCTGACTCTAAGGAAGACAGCACTGGACAGAGCCAAGCAGGATCCCAGGCTGCAGGGAGGGAGGGCTGCAGATCTAAGGGTGGCGGGCATGTTCTACTGTGGGAGCATCAGAGTTCCACAGAGCATGTGGCCCTGGAGGAAGGAGTACTGGGTGATACAAGGCTGGAAACAGAGTTCTGGGCCAGTTCCCAGCAGCCAAGCACTCGGCTAAGCAGTTCTGCCTTCTCCCAAGGATGGAAGGAAGCAGCTGTCACCTAGAGCTGCGGACTCCTTTCCCTTCCATTCCCTCAGAGCCACGGGTGAAGCTGTCAGCATGGCAATCGCACATGCCAACTGTCAGTTTCTTTTCTGACTCAAGCAGGTTCAGGTCTCCCCTTGACACAGCAGGTGGCAACTATGAACCATTCGATATATTTCCATTTGCTGATGGAGATCTGGAGCCCCCAGAGAGTCAGGGAGCCAGAGGAACCAGAATATTCACACATGTCCTGGTCTCCTCCAAAAGCAGACAGAGCCTGTGGGTGACACTTTTGCCCTAGGAGTCGCTTCGGATAAGGAATAGCACCTAGGGACAACCCAGTGGTCATAGCCAGAGCTTTCTCTCCATGTTATCAAGGTCTGTGCTGTTGCAGGGTCTAGATGGGCCCTGTGGAGCCTGGAGGACTCAGGCTCGTGGGAAAGGAAGCCGTGGCTGAGCCAATCTTGCCCAGCCATATGCAGAGTGTCTCCTCAGAACAGACGCTTGAAATAGCTTCTGGCCTCTAAGGCCCAGCTGAGTTCTGAGGGCCCTGGAGTTGAAAGGCAGCGTGTGTGGAGCTGAGGTATGGAGATCAGGGATGGAACAGGACGTTCTGCTCATCAACCAAGTTGATTGAAGAAGTGTGGAAAACAGCGGCCAAAATACCCAGGCTCTTCAGCCTCCAGCTCCTAGCTGGTCACCAACCCAGGGCTGGCCACTGACCATCATTTTCCCATTTGAACTTCCCAAAGTCCTCTGGCAAGGAGGTTCTTTAGATCTATTTCACTGATGGGGACTGAGGGTCAAAGTAACTGGGTAACCCCTCAAGACCTTCATGAGAAATACAGGGCAGGAATTTCACCTGGGGACTGAAGGTCCCTCTACCCAGCTGCCCCCAGCTCCCAGTGCTGCCAAGGTTTGGGGAGGATATCCTAGCACTGCATAGCTAGAGGGTGAAGCAGGGGCAGGAGGCAACGCCCTTCCTCCTCACCAATTCGTCTCATGGATCCATGTCTGTTTGTTTCCTGGGGCTGTTTTCACTGTGCTACAGCAAGGTGTGGCTCAGCAGCAGGAGTGTGTGCTCCCTGGTCTGGTTCTAGAGGTTGAGGTGCAGGCAGAGGTTGGGGTGTAGGCAGAGGTTTGTGTGTAGGCAGAGCTTGGGGTGCAGGCAGAGTTTGGGGTGCAGGCAGAGGTTGGGGTGCAGGCAGAGATTGGGGTGGGGTGGCACCATGCATTCTCTGAGCTTACATTTCTCTCAGACTCTGGCATCCACGGTCTCAAGAGGCCTGACCTGTGGCTGTGAAGTTCTAACCCCATCTCTGGTGGCGCCCCCTCCCTTCACCACACCGTCCCCTCATCAGGACACTCCTGATGCTAAGTTGGGTAACCCCTTCTACTGTAGCCCAATCCTCCTCCACTACACATGGGGTCCCCTTCCAGAATGCTGGTGTTAGACTTTTAGCACGTCCTTTGGAGGGACACAACCTGCCACATTACACATACTGACTATCCATCTCCTTATTCAAGTGTCTGCCTCCTATTAAAATGCAAGCTTCCAGAAGCTTCTCGTCACCTAGAACCAAACTCTGTTGAATAAGCTGCATATGAGTGTCTAGGCGGCAAAGACAAAGGAGGAAACATAGAAAAATTAGTCAGAAGGAAGGACAGACAGGAAGTTCTAAAGGGGCTGGAAGAAGGGCGAGTCTCTGCTATAGTGTGGGCTAAGTGAAGCCATGGCGCAGAGGACAAGGAAGAAGCTGAGTATCTGATAACAGGACAGGCATCTGCAGCAGAGGGCAGAGCCAGGGCCAACAGGAAAATAATCAATAGCGTGGAGGATGCACCTGAGACACTCTCCCAGCATTTGGAGCAAATGGCTAGCCCGATCAATCCTGTGAGAGAGAAGATGACGACGGTGTGAGACTGGAGAAGAGGGATAAGAGGACGCCAGGACACTCGAGGGTGAACCAAAATAGATGCCCCAAGAGCAACGGCTCACAGAGCAGCCAGGATCTGGGCTCTAGAACATTCTGCACTAAGAGAACAGGGACGGCTGAGGAATGGGGACCTGGGAAGGTGGCTTGGTTGGTAAAATATAAGCACAAGGACCAGAAACCCACACAAAGAGCCAGACATGGCAGTGACAGGGAATCTGGAATCCCAGTGCTGGAGAGGGAAAGACTAGTGGATCTCTGGGGCTCACTGGCCTCATGGGCTAACTCCAGGTTCTGTGAGAACTCTTAGAAGAATGGACCCCTGACCTCAACACACATGCACACTCATGTAAATACTCACACATATACAAGCCTGCACACATCCAAACACACACCTTAGAAAACAAACCTGGATCACATGAAGTTGTCAACATTTGACCACTGTTGAAAATGTAGTTAGCACGAAAATGTAAAGTTGTGTGTACTGGCTAGCTAGCTGATCTCTGTGTCCTAGCCACTTTGATATAGGAAAGGACACCTAGACACATTTCAGCAGATGTTTTCGTGTATAAACTTGAAGGATAAATCTCACAATATCTAAACAGAGCTATGGAGGTTGTGGCAGGGGCAGGAAGTCAAACTTCCCCCAAGGTTCTCAAACCCAGGCTGCCCTCCAGCCTCTCTGTACCATGAAACTCCAGGGTTATTGGAGCACCTGGGACATACGTGTTATTGTGTGAGGCTCATGTGATGTACCAGCAGGGGACCCTTCTGGAAGGTGATCCTGAGAGCCAGCTGAGAACAGTGGTGCACTTCATAACTGAGGTCGGGAGAGAAACAGGCAAGTAGGGACCACAGAATCAGAAGAGAGAGAAGTTTAAACAATTGCTGAAAATGGAAAAGAGCATGTGACTTCCCACAGAGTGCAGAAATGGGTACCACAACAGTAACGGAGACGTGGAATCTGGAGTGCACCCTCGGAGCCTGGGAAATGGGGAAACTTAAAAACAGACAACAAACTCTTGGTCTCCGTAAGAGAAGAGACCCAAAAGAGGCATGTTCATAGTCAAGTCTGACAGTGGAGGGAGGCTCAGGTGAGCTGAGTCGGAAGCCTGCTGCCCTGAGACCCAGGAACCCCTCTCTACTACCACCTAGAATCTAAAATTGTAGAGAAACCTAGACTGAAGGAACAACACGGTGGTATACAGAACCCAAAACTCCCAGAATATGAAAGATGGCAGCAAGGAAAAATATCTGATCCACGTGTCCAAACAGCAAACAAGCTTTAAAACAGAATACTCCCGATAAGCCATTGCAGACAAAACAGTAATTCCGACCAGAAATCCAAATGGGGTCAACTTCAACATGAAATGTCAAAAGGTAGTTTTTGTATTTGTTTCTGTTGTTGTGTGGGTGATTTTTTTTTGTTTGTTTATTTAGTTGTTTGCTTGCGCACGCTCGAGCGCATGCGTGAGTGCGTGCGTGCGTGCGTGCACCCGTGTGTGTGTGTGTGTGTGTGTGTGTGTGTGTGTGTTGGTTGGTTGGTTTATTTTGTTTGAGATAGGATCTGTATGGCCCATCCTGCCTCAACCTCTTGAGTTTCTGAAGTATGGAACAACCACAGCATCTTGATGCAGGCATTAAGTGCTAAAGCCTGGACAGAAGTCTTCCACAGTAGATAGAATCCTGCCAAAGGGGATCAAGAAGCAGGCACTGGGCAGGCCTACTATGGATGAGGGGGACAGTGCTGTGAGATGACCAAGCACATGGTCTGACCCTGCTCTACTTGACATCTTGGTGAACTACAAAGCTGGCCTGCAGGACTCCATGGGGAACAGGTAGGAACAGAGCAGGAAGCTCCTGTTAACTCTCCTTTTTCAGTTACAAACATAACTGATATTTGCAGTCTAATGCTTGTTAAGCACACTCTTCTCTCTGTGTAGCCTTCCCGTGGTGCACTTCTCTTCATCACAGCAGAAGCTCAGTACAGGCTTTGACTCAAGCAGGCCTGTATGTCCTTCCTTCTGCTCCCTGACTCAGCTATCTTCAGCCACCAAATAAGCTCCTATGATGGTCCTCACGAGCAGAACACTCCCAAGATTGAAGAACTAGTGGCTGATGTCATCTTGGAAACCCAAGAAAATGATGAGAAACAAGATATGAATCCATAATATGTCCTATCCTAAAATAATCATGGAAGTTTCTGTAAAAGCCGTAAAGATCCAGGAGACTGTGAGCTCCATGTGGTCCCTAGGTCCACAGAGCAACCACTATGCGGTCATCAGTGGAGGAGGCAGCCTTGTGTCTGCACCACTGCTGGGAAAGCAGGGCTAACTGTGAGCTGGTTTTCTGCCTCTTATCTCATCACAGCCTGCCCTCTGGCCTCAGCCTATGCTTCTCCTTCAACACCCAAGACAGAACTGTCCAGTACTTGATTTGTGCTTAGATTTAT